TCTACCCCCTGTAGTCTTTTGTTGTAGTTACTGCCACTGTGATTGAGTGCTGCAACTGTGGAGCGTGTAGCTTGCTTATATTGAGCATCGTGTGGACTACACAACCCCAATCCGCGTTCGATTGATATTTTTTTTCGGAGGCCATTGGAAATTATTGTCGCTTAACTTAACGTGGTTTTGTGGAATCAACGACACAGCTAAAGCATTGTGAGCATCTAGCTCAAGTGAGGAGTAAATAATCCTTTTCGGAGTAACCGAAGGCATATATAATGAAGTAAGAAACACGTATACTGTACTAATTTCGTTAAGTGGATATTGTTGTTGTCGTTGTTGTCATTGTTGTCATTGTGTGTCGTATCGTATGTCGTGAAGTAAATGTGACGCAACGTATATACTGTCTATGCTACTTAAAACTCTTCACATTTGGTGATAATGACTAGAGGTGGCTCCCTTGGTCACAATAAACACACACCAGTCTCATGCGTATATTGATTTAATACTTCTTTTGAGAAGTTTTTATTTTATGTCCATGCCAATGTGTACATCTATATGGATTTCGTAGAAATTGAAATTTGAAAAAATTTGTGAGAGAGGTTGAAGATAAAGAATAATAAATATAGCAACACGAGAACCAACACCACCATCAATACTAACAACAACCACCCTAGAAAAAAAATGTGGGTGATATTGGGTGTACTAGCTGCAATTTACCTCACACATCAACTATTTACTTCCATCCTACCACATCATTTCCTAGTCCCACCTCAAAAATGGCAAAATTCAATCCTCAAAGTCATCAATTATGAAAAGCCAATCTACTTACAAGTAAGTCACAAAAGATCAAGCTATAGACGCAGACTTGTGCTAGCTAGTGCAATCCCGTCATTCTATACAAATTTCATCAACAATAAATTGAAAATCGCACCTCAAGACAATGCCAACAAAGATGCATTCATGCAAGAAATGAGGAGGCGAGATGTCGATGATCCCAAGAGAAGATTATTGTATGGATTCTTCCACCCTTACGCTAATAATGGCGGGGGTGGTGAGAAAGTGTTGTGGGAAGCAGTTAAAGCTACTTTAGACCAAGATGAAAAGAATATCTGTGTTGTTTACACTACAAATGTTGATACGGAGCCATTGGCAATCTTGGGCAAGGCTAGAGACAAATTCCAGGTTGAGAACTTGGATCACAAGAGGATACTATTCATTTACTTGAGAAGATTCGGTAAATTCATAGACGGTTCTTATTGGAAGCACTTGACTATTGTTGGACAATTGTTGGGTACTTTTTTATTGAGTTTGGAAGCTGCATTTGAGTTATCGCCAGATGTGTGGGTTGACACTATGGGACTTCCGGGAAGCTACTTTATCGCATCTGTGGTTTTGAAAATCCCCATCATTGCTTACATACATTATCCAATCTTGCAGGAGAACATGTTTAACAAGTTGAAATACAACAGTTTATCTGATATCTTAAAGATCAGGAGCGCATCGGATCTTTTCAGCTTTGCCAAATTGTGTTACTGGTCTGGTCTTTATTGGCTCTATGTCTACATTGGCTCTTTTGTCGATATAACTTTGGCCAATGGATCCTGGACGTTTAGTCATATGCAAAAGATATGGACTTACAATAGCCCCATGGGTAAGCAAATAGACAGATTGTATCCACCTTGTGGAGCTGAATATCTTGTCCATGATCAGCTCCAAAGTGGTGCAAGTACGAGGACCAATAAGCTTTTGTACTTGGCCCAATTTCGGCCTGAAAAACGTCATATATTGGTTTTAAAAGAGTATCAACAATTTCTCACAAATAATTACCCCAACATCAATATCCCCACTGAGGAGGTTCCCACTTTGTTATTTGCTGGGTCTTGTCGTACTAAAGATGATACGGCGACTTTGGAGTTTTTACAACAAGAGGTTAAGTCGTTAAAGTTGGACAACTTTGTTGAGTTTGCTGTCGACTGTTCATATACCGAAGTTGTCAAATATCTTTCAACGTGCAAGTTTGGTCTCAATGCTATGTGGAATGAACATTTTGGAATAGGTGTTGTGGAATATGTTGCAAGAGGGTGCATCCCTATTGTTCATGCCTCAGCGGGGCCCTTTCTTGATATAGTAACAGGAGAGAGAATTGAAGACTGGCATAATACTACAGGCTTCTTTTTCAAGTCTTTTGCTGACCCTGATTTTGACCCTCGGTTACAAACCACGGTAGGTAACAAAGACAAGTATTTGGTGTTTGAAATGAATGGTGAGAGGATGGAATTTCCCACGTTGGAACAACTTCTCACCACCTTATTCGTTAGCGATAGACTGCTTATAAGTGATGATGCATTGGAGGAAAAGAGAAGGATTGGGCAGCAATTGGTTGTTGATAAATTTTCCAACAAATTATTTGAAGAGAAATGGAAAGAGTATATTGAACAAGCCGAAGCACTTGAAAAAGAGTATAGACAAGAGAGAAGAGGCAAGTTAGAAAGAGTATATTAGTATAGTGAGAGTTGTATATAGATACATTGAAGTTGTATTCCAGAGTATCGTTGTATACAAATGTGGTGTTCCTGTGTCGTGTACAAATGGTTAGTTTTACGTGTTCAACAGAAAAGAGGAAGAAAAAAAAAAATAATCAATTTTCAACAAACCCAAAGCTAAGGCTAAGCTAACAACGCAACTCAACTTCGGCCAATCTCGCAAATTCAATTCAATTATCAACACAAGCTTTGTGAATTCAAACACACCTTCCCTTCCACTTCCCACATATATCCACTAAGAACTAATTATGAAATTGGATATTGCAAAGACGTTCAGCCACCACTCGGATCGTGTCAAGGGCATTGATTTCCACCCAACAGAGCCGTGGATTTTGACTACATTGTACAATGGAAAAGTCGAAATCTGGTCATATGCCACCAATGTCTTAGTCAAGGCGATCCAAGTTGCTGACATACCCGTGCGTACAGGTAAGTTTATAGCTCGAAAGAATTGGATCGTTGTTGGTGCCGATGATTTCCAAATTCGTGTTTACAATTACAACACTGGTGAAAAAATTACTCAGTTTGAAGCCCATCCCGATTACATCAGATCCATTGCCGTCCATCCTACAAAACCTTATATTTTGAGTTCAAGTGATGATTTGACTATAAAGTTGTGGAATTGGGACCATAATTGGAAATTAGAACAGGTGTTTGAGGGCCACCAGCACTACGTCATGAGTGTTAATTTTAACCCCAAGGACCCAAACACTTTTGCTTCTGCTTGTTTGGATAGAACTGTAAAGATTTGGTCGTTGGGCAGCTCCAGTCCAAATTTCACATTGATTGCTCACGACACCAAGGGTGTCAATTTTGTTGATTATTATCCACAAGCTGACAAGCCATATTTGATCACTGCAAGTGATGACAAAACTATCAAAGTATGGGATTATCAAACTAAGTCGTGTGTTGCTACTTTGGAAGGACACTTGTCGAATGTATCATTCGCAATCTTCCACCCGGAATTACCGTTGATTGTATCCGGATCTGAAGATGGTACCGTTAGGTTTTGGAACTCAAACACATTCAAATTGGAGAAGTCGATAAATTACAGTTTGGAAAGAGCTTGGTGTGTTGGGGTACTACCAAAGTCAAACGTCATTGCCGTGGGGTTTGATTCAGGATTCGTTATCGTCAAATTGGGCAGCGAAGAACCATTGTTTTCATTGGATGCCAATAACAAGCTAATATATGCTAAAAACTCTGAAGTTTTCCAATCAGTTATAAAACCAAATGCAACACAAGGATTGAAAGATGGTGAGTCATTGAATTTGCAACAAAGGGAGTTGGGGACTATTGAGATTTTCCCGCAATCGTTGGACCACTCGCCCAATGGTAGGTATGCTGCCGTTTGTGGTGATGGAGAATACATTGTCTATAGTGCATTGGGATGGAGATCCAAGGCCTATGGTAGTGCCCTTGATTTTGTTTGGAACACTCATGATACATCAGCAGCTAGTCCCTTTGCCATTAGGGAATCAACCGTTAGTGTCAAGGTGTTCAAGAACTTCCAAGAGTCGCTCGTTATTGACTTGTTATACCAAGCTGACAAAATTTTTGCTGGCTATTTATTAGGTGTCAAGTCTGAAGGATGCATTTCGTTTTACGATTGGGAACAAGGGAAGTTGGTTAGAAGAGTTGACATTGATGATGATATAACTGATGTGGTGTGGTCTGACAATGGTCAGTTGTTGGCAATAGTCACCAGTTCAAGCACCGGTGAAAAATCAACTGCAATTACGGGTGGCAAAACCAGCGATGAGACTTATTTCTTGAGTTATGATCAAGAAGTGTTTGAACAAGCAGTTGCCAATGATGAATTAGACACAGAAGAAGGTGCTGAGGCTGCATTCGATGTGTTATACACCTTGCCCACATCGGAAGCCATTTTGTCTGGGAAATTCATTGGTGACGTCTTTGTCTACACAACAGCAACCACCAATCGTTTGAACTACTTTGTTGGTGGGGAAGTTATCAACTTGGGTCATTTTGATCGTAAATTCTACATACTCGGATACAAAGCTCAAGACGGAAAGCTCTATCTCATTGACAAGTCATTTGATATCGTTTCGTGGTTCATCAATGCTGAAGTGTTGGAACTACAAACATTGGTCATGAGAGGGGATTTGGAACAGTTTGCAACTCACAATGTTTTGGATGAAGAAACTGGTGAAGAAACTCCCGACTTGGCCACAGTCACGGTTGACAATCTCTCCGAAGAGTACAAATCACTCATTACCAACTTTTCCAAAACAGAACTCAATCAACTCTCACGATTTTTTGAGAAATTGGGATACTTGTCTTTATCGTATGCATTGTCACAGGATTTCGATTCTAAATTCCAAATTGCTTTAACTACAGGGAACTTGAAGCAAGCTTATGAGTTGTTATCGAAGCAGCAACAAGAATCTCCCTCACTTGCTTTGGCCAACGTGCAAAAATGGAAGAAACTTGGGGATTTGGCTTTGAACAAATGGAATTTGAAATTGGCTCAAGAGGCATTTTGGTTAGCGAATGATTTCTCGTCATTGTTGTTACTTTTATCGTCAACAAACAATAGAGCGCAATTGATCAAGTTGGCTGAAAAATGCGAGGAGAAGGGAAGGTACAATATTGCATGGCAAGCGTGGTGGCTTGTGGGTGATGTGAATAAATGCTTGGACTTGCTAGTCAAGAGCGGCAGGTATCCGGAAGCTATTTTGTTTGGAAGAAATTATGGTGTTGATCAAGAAAGATTGTCAAATTATATCAAGGACTTTAAGGAGGTTTTGAAGCTGAAAAATAAAAGCAAGATTGGTGAGCGTTTGATTGATGATTTTGGAAACCTAAGTATCAACAATGGTGTCGTTCCAGAGGGTGGTGTTGTTGGCGCTGCTCCATTGATCAATTTGGAGGTTGAATCGCAAGAGAAACAAGAAAAGGAGGAAGACGATGTAGGCGAAAAGGAGACTGAAAAAAAAGAAGTAGAAGAAGTGGAATTGGAAACAGAGAAAGATGATGCTAATGGAGAAGTTGAAGTATCCAAGAAATGATGGTTATAAATATAGTTTACATTCAATAAAACGAAAGAAAGAAAAAAAGAAAGTTGAATAATCGCCTGTTTTTATTCTCTTTTATCTAGGCATACAAAGATGCAATCTTGCATTAGATTTATTTCATGCACGTTGAAAAACACCGCCTGTAGTCTTTGTTTCATCGCCGCAATCTCCCCATCGTCATTATCAATGTTTGTTAATTTTAGTATAAATTTCCCACCCAGTTTCAATGTTTTTGACATGAGCATAATTGCACCATCAGCTAAATCCAAATTGCCCTTTTTTGGGTTGACAATTGAGTGGTTCAAACCCTTGTTGTTGTTGTACCTAAGGTACGGATTGGTCTCTGTGTAATCGTAAAACCCACTTTGTTGTTTGCCGGGACGCGATAATTCGCTGACTATTAGATCCACCTTCCAATTGATTTCCAGTGTTCTTGATACATTCCCATTTGAGATAGATAGCCCCTTCATTCGTTTGATCAATTGCGATTCGTCAATCTCTTGAGCGAAATATGACTTGTGATCGATATCATCATCGATGTGAGGTGTGAGCTGCAGCTGAGTTTGTTTGTTTGCAATCTCCTTGAAATGGTTAATGACATTTTCATGGCTTAGTTTTGAAAAGATGTTGCCTTGGATGGAACTGGTTCCCAATGGTGGGCTTTTGAATAAGATATCGAATCCAAGAATGTGAACTCCCACTGTGTGCAATTTGGTACTTTCGACATTGTGTAATTGACTTATTCGATCAACAATGTATGACATCCAATGTCCAGGAGCAAATCCAATATCAAGAACTTTCTTGGTTGAAGGAGTGAGTATGTCGTATTTCAAATCAAGATGCTGAAGGCTGTTACGTGCAGCTATGGCCTGTTGTTCAGCTTCTTCTTTTCGGGAGAGTTTCTTTAATTTGTTGAATTGCTTGTATGGAGGTTGAGGCTTGGTGGTGGTGGTGGTGGTAGACTTCCACTTGAGATTGGCTGCAGGTGATGATGGTACCTGATAGATCACTGAGCTACCCAGTAGTAGTGAACGTGTGAATAATTCCGCATGATGTGCTTGCTTGGTGTATAACATGTGTTGGCATTCTTTGATGAAAGACGTTATTACTTTATGCGTATAAAAGGCTTCGAAGTTGTAGCAGTTTGTGCGGCTTGACGAATGTTTTTGTGTCAACCTGAAGTGAGTGATGTAGAGAGAGATAGAGAGAGAGAGCCGACGGAGACGAAGACTACAAAGTACCTATTCAATACTCATTAGAGCTCGAGATCCAGTTTACGACGTCTTTCACGTCACATGAGAATGGTTTTGAAGCAAACAGAGAGCATAATCAGAGTGTGCAATCCTTGAGATGCCTGATTGGTGCGGAACAAATATAGCATGTGTAGGAATCAATGTAAATGATGGATGGGGTGACGTCAAGTCTACTTTTCTGCAACACTATATCAAGACTGCAACTACTGGCAAGGAAATGGTGGTAATAGTGTCTTGATATTATGTAAACAGTCACAACTGGTCATGTGATTACCCTCTCTCTCTGATCTTTTTTTTCCTTTGGTCTGGCACAACTGGTAGCACCATGATAATAAAGTATGGGATACGATGCGCATAGTACTGCTGCTGCCAACTGCGCGCAGTAACAATTGAAAATTTTCCAAAAACCGCATCTCTCATATATCTGTCTTCTCCCTTCTTTCTTCTACATCCACGTCGAATCAATCACATTTACCAAATTAACTTTTTTTTTTGGGAGACGTAACCTTATTTAGCCAATCATGTCTAAAATCACCTCAGCCCACGTTCGTGAAAACGTCAAGAAATTGTTGGAACACTCCAACGAAACCAAAAAGAGAAACTTTTTGGAAACTGTTGAATTGCAAGTTGGTTTGAAGAACTATGACCCACAAAGAGACAAGCGTTTCTCTGGTACTTTGAAATTGCCACATGTTCCAAGACCAAACATGACCATTTGTATTTTTGGTGATGCTTTTGATGTTGACAGAGCCAAGTCATTGGGTGTTGATGCCATGTCTGTTGATGACTTGAAGAAGTTGAACAAGAACAAGAAGTTGATCAAGAAGTTGGCCAAGAAGTACAATGCTTTCATTGCTTCTGAAGTTTTGATTAAGCAAATTCCAAGATTGTTGGGTCCTACTTTGTCCAAGGCTGGTAAATTCCCAACCCCAGTTTCCCACAACGATGACTTGTACTCCAAGGTTACTGACGTCAAGTCCACCATCAAGTTCCAATTGAAGAAGGTCTTGTGTTTGGCTGTTGCTGTTGGTAACGTTGACATGGATGAAGATGCTTTGGTCAACCAAATCTTGATGGCTGCTAACTTTTTGGTTTCTTTGTTGAAGAAGAACTGGCAAAACGTCGGATCTTTGGTCATCAAGTCCACCATGGGTCCATCATTCAGAATCTACTAAATGCAAGAGATGTGTTCATAATTTTGTATTTTAGGTTTATTAGTCATTATCTATTGAGTTAGTTGGTGTCAAATGTGTAATATACAAAAAAAAAAATAAAGTCATCAATTTAAGAAGGAAAAGAACATAACGTAGGCTATTCGTAAAACTATAAAGAAAACTATCATAACTCTAACTGGCGACAAATCTATGCTTCTTGTCCTGCTTCTTGTTCTTTTTATTGTGCTTCTTATCCGACTTTGTTGGCAAGGAAATTGTCTTTTTATGGAACGGAGTGTTCAATTTACCTTCAACATTACCCATTGCGAAAAACTCTTGATCCAAATCATCACCAGCACTTTCCAACTTCGCTTGCTTGCCTCCATAGAACAATGTCTTTGCCTCTGTCGCACTCCCGCTACTCTCTTCTCCACTGCCTCCAATATGCATTGAAAAATTCAATTTCGAGATGTCTTTTTGTAAATCAAATTGATCAATTGGGATATTTCTAGCCTTCATTGCCTGCTCAATTTGTTGTCTTCTGGAATCAGGTAAATGTTGCAACGTGTATAATTCTTTGTTGAATTCTCTGCTCTTTTGCAAATCCAACAACTGCCATTCTCCATTAACAAGAACTGGAGGTGGATTGACGTAAAGGAGTTTCCCGTTGACATAATCTTTGAGAATATATCTGGCAGCTCTTGGCTCATCAGCAGCACCGAAACCCTGAGTCATATAACCTCTGGCTCTTGCATATGCATTAAGCAATTCTCTAGCAGTTGGATACTCTCCGTTACCACCATCTTCAACCAGTTGAATAGGTATATGTATACCATAGACTGCCTCAAGGAAAAACTTTGGTATTCTCTGACACACCAATGAGGTTGGCGGTATGTGTTCACGTAATTGATCAATTGGCAAAACACCATTACAAACGAGCTCGGCATTGGTGTAAGCAAAATTGGGGAATACCAAACCGGGACAATCACAAAGTATAACATCAGGAGTAAGATGAAGAGTCTGGAAATGCTTTGTTTTACCTGGTGTTGATGAAACTGACACCTTTTTGGATCCTATCAAAGCGTTGATGGTGGAGGATTTACCAACATTGGGATACCCAACAAGACCAATTTGCAACTTGCGATCTGGGAACTCGGGATCTACTTCAAAGCTTGGGGCAGAATCCATAAACAATTGCTCTAGTTCTTCGATTTTCAAAATTCTTACAGACTCGTCCATTTCGACGTCATCAAAAATCCTGTGGTCAACCTTATTGCCACCCACAGGTTCATGTTGTATCTGATTCTCGAGCTGCTCCGCTTCTTCTCTCTCCTTTTCCAACAAAGCATTGGCATTTGCAGCTGAAAAGAAAACGTAGTTGATATTCTTGGCTTTAAAGTAGTCAGCCCAAGCAACTCTTTGGTCACGGCTCAACATATCTGCCTTGTTGACAAGAAGCAAATTCCTCTTTTGGTGGTTTGCGTCATTACTATCATTAAAGCTTTCAACGTATTTTTCCAAATCGATTGATCTGAAAAACAACGGATTTCTTGCATCGACAATTTGAACCACCAAATCGCATCGTTCAACCACTCTCCACAACTGTCTCCACACTTCCAAGTTTCTCTCAAACGGAGTCAACAATAAGTCGTTGTTTTCCGTCAAGCTGGCCAAATCTCTTCTCCATGCCAAAAATGCAAGATTCTCCTGCCTTTCAATTTCCAACTTGCTTTGCTGCTTAAACCATTTGGGACGTCTAGGGATCGTCAATTTGTTTTCAAACATCATATGTTTCTGTCTCATTGCCAACATTTCATCCGTACTCAACAACCCATTAGAGTTGATTATATTTGTATTACCAACCTTGATGATCTTCACTTGCTGTCCTCTCTCGGCACTGAAGTCGGTGTCAGCCAATTGTGCTGTGCTTAAAAACTCATCCAAGGAATTCTCCTGCGTGACTGATCTCAACTTGACCCAGTTGGGATCTTTCTTGTCGGTTGTGAATCTCATTTCTCCATCGGGCAAATATTGCACTTCATTTTCTTTGGATCTTTGATTTGCTATGGTACGACCTAAACCTATTAGGTTTTTGTTCTTGTGGTGAACTGGTTTGGGTCCTTTAGGAGCCTTCCATTTCTTTTGCTCCGGATGTAATGACACTTTGTTATTAGAGTCCATGGTGGATGCAAACGAGCTTGATTAGTAAGTTAAAGGGGATGAGTAAAAGCGAGGTTTGAGTTGCAATTATTTTTTTTTCTTTCTCTCTCTCTCTCTCTCTCTCTCTCTCTTTTGCTTAGCGATGAGAGAGAGGAAAGATGAAGACGAACAAAGAAGTTGAGGAGCAAGAGCCAGAATAAGAACATTTTGAAAAGTAGTTTATTACTAGAGCTTGTCTGTCGTGGAATAAGCGCTAATTGCGCTAGATTTTTTCATGCTATGACTGTATATCTGCCAGTAAGGTATACTCGACTGTGGCTGTCTATTTCGTCATTATCGTACATTTGGGCAGCTCTATACAAGTGAAAAAGGGGAGGGAAGGAGGATAACAACACAATTGAAAGATAGGCCTAGATGTACTGAGATAACCACTTGAACGCTTCACCATAGCCTGATCTCATCACAACAGAAACCATAAACACTTCAATTGGTCTAGTACCTTCTGGTAATTTACCAGTATCTTTCCCAGTGGTATTGTACAATCCTAATGCATTCTTCAACTCCATTTCACCGCAAGCAGTTGGAACATCAATCTTGTTGCCCAAAATGACAAAGGGGACTTGACTCAACTCTTCAATTCTAAACAATGATTCCAACTCAGCCTTAGATTCAGCCAATCTGTCAGGGTCAGCCGCATCAACCAAAAATACAATACCATTGACTTCAGGAAAGTAGTCCTTCCATAATCTACGTGCCTGCTGATGCCCACCCAAGTCAAAGGTGGTGAATCTGACTGAACCAATGGCCAATTCTTCTGAAGTTGGATGTAAAGTAGGCTGTAAAGTGGCTAATCTGTCATTCTTCAACATGTGTAGTAAAGTAGTCTTTCCTGCATTGTCCAAACCTAGAAATAACAATTTGGCATGTTTGTTCCATAAACCTAATGACGCCAATACATCTTGGACTAGAATGAACTTGAGTTAGTATAAATTTGTTTTACTTTGAAATAGAAATGTGAATTGGTAAACAACGAATGTACATACACCAATCAAAAATCCACATAGTTTAAAGAGTGATTAAATAATACTTGTTTTGAATGAAACGAATATTTATCAATCTGGTTTTGCTGTTTGGTTTGATGAAGAAGGAAAAAGATGTTGAATCAATTTGAACAACAGAAATAAAAATGAAGTACTTGTATACAGGAACAGCGGAAAAAAACAGAATGAGAGACAAAGAGAGACAAAGACAGAGAAACAGAGAGGCAAAATCCTTCAAGGAGCCGCACAATCAATCTTCAATCTCATCTTGTGTCTTCGCCATTGTCATCTAATGACATGAACTAGTCTTTTATTCCCCATAGGATTTTATTCTAATGACACATCACTAACTGCTTTTTTTCTCTCGCTAATAAGATGCTCAGAGCTGTACAACATTACACCAAGGTCGTTTGTCAAACAAGACCGTATTTGAAGAGATTTAATTCAACCAGAATCCCAGATCAGGGCGACGAGGGCAGCTCTGCAATGCTGGAAAGGATGAAGCAGATACTAGAGGAGAGAATAACCAACACACTGTCCAACACAGCCCAAATTCGACAAATGAATCCTCATGTAAACAGTATTTTGACAGAATACGACTACGGGAACCCGGAGAAACAAAATGTCGACCATGCAAACGCTTATATCAAGAGTGAGCCGTTATTGGCACACAACAAGCACGCTAGAGACATTTACTATTCGAAACCATGGACGGGAACGGAATCCAAGTACGATGCTAACCTCAGAATGATTCTTGATCTGACCCCTAAACCAGTGAATGATCCCATGGCCACTTTTCAACCTAAACGAAAGATTTCAGTTGGTGATAAGTTGGCAAACGCAAGAGATGGCAGCCTAGACTACAAAATCAATAGAGACCCTGTAGACAAGGAAAAAGCGAAATTTAGGGAAATTTACAAGGAAAAGCTACTAGGTCCATCAATGCTACTCACAAATTCATCTTCGGTCGATTTTGTAAATAGTTTAGCTGGCAATCGTATCAATGCTGTGATTGACCAACAAACTGGGAAATTCAAATCGCCAGAGATGGAGAATGTCAGAGGCAAACCTTTGACACTGGAACATTTGAAAAATTGCACCGACACAAACTACTTTATGAATCAGATTTTAACAAAACAGGAAGTGTTGCCACCTTGGATTGAAACACAGCAAAATATAAACAAGTCAATAGAGCAATTTAGAGACGATTTGGACCAGTTGTGGTTCAAGTGGATCGTGAATGATTCTGTAATGAAGGGTATCGTCAACAGAGCAACCACTGTGGATCAAGTATTGGACGAGTACGAAAAGAATATTGAAAAGATCACTTTTGAAGACAATAAATTAGCGGAGACGGATCTTGCTTATGTTCAAGCCAAAGTCGACTTGTTGAATTCAGAAGTTAGGCACTACAATTTACAATGTCCAAGTGTCAGTGGGCATAAATTGAAGTTGGACCAAGAGAGGGAGATTAATCAATCTTATTGGAGAAGTTTGGAGAAATTCCCTACGATGATTGAAAAGTGGTTCAAGTTGCATAAAGAAGGACGAAAATCCAAACTAGTTGAGAACCCAGGTGCTGGAACTTCGAAGTTTTTCAAGGCGCTCAAAATTGGCGGATCTCCTGATATTCACGAGAATCGAAATATTGATACTAGTTTGAATATATGGCAAGCGGTCAAGGATGTTTTCAAGATGGCAAAATAATGAGTCCTGAGATTGGGTGGGGGACTACTTTGTGACCCACTTTGTATATACAATTTCAATTGATTTGCTATCAATAGATATCGACCATATCACGAACCTTGAAGGAATCTTTTTTAAAGTTCTTTCTTGCTTTCTGCGCGTGCATTAGCGAATTGGGGCTCCTACATTTTCTCCAAGGGTTGAAGCCCCCATTGTTATTGGAATTTGTGTTAACAGATTGAGACGGACTTGCTATGCTATACAATATACGACGCGTAGCTATGGAGAGATTCAAAGGGTGTATTCTGAGTGGTAGGAGGCTGGGGGGGGGGGGTTCTATAAAGTCACAAGAAAGAACATCCAACTCTGAGTTCAAGTACACTTTTTGAAGTTCAACAGCCCTTTTATTATCAAGCTCGCATTCAAACTTCCTATGACTGGTCCACTTGGTGTTGTCTTCGTAATGATGATACGCTATAACACAAGGGGGTAAATTTGGACTGAATACAGAAGCCGTGTCTAGAAACGTCATGCACCGACTACACTTCCGAGAATGCCACCAATTGATGCTAGCATTGGGGAACATGACACATAGGCGCGGGATATACTCTCTCCACCTTGATCTTCGGCGCACTAAAATCAACAGCTGTATACTGGTGTGGCGATACGAACACAAGGTATTTATGAGAGAAAAGAAGTNTGGTCAGAGCTCACATCTATTCCAAGCTGGACAAGGCTTGGATACTTTTCATTCATTTGGCCCTCGCAAAATAATTCACCGATGTGTGGCTTCAGAGATCCCTCAATGTATAGCTCCTCTAGTCTTGAAGTGTTGAAAATTTTGCTGATTGTACAGTGCAGCAGGTCCAAATTGAATTGACACAAAAATAATTTTCTCAATCGAAGATCCTGGTTTATAACTATGCTGTTTATCACCTTTCTTGAGTTTGCAATATATAAGGTTGACAAATTGGGCATCATATTGATAATATTAAAAGGTGCTGGCGTAGAAAAGTGTACCTTCAATTTTAGAAGCCTTTCTTTCATGTGCTGAGAGCACGGGCATGCAAAACATTTGAGTATAATACATTGAGTTCCGCGTCGGACTAAAGGTGACAGTTTCTTTGCAAAATGAATGGAAACCGAGGGTATACAAATAGTCATCAAGCGTACAAGTGCAACTCCAAATCAATTCAAGATTTTTTATGTAATTGAAATGCTTGAAAAGGGAGTCCAGTGAGGCAACAAAGTTTGCGACAATGTCCAAGCTTGTGATCTTCATATCACCATCCATCCTCGTTAAGTACCTCTCAAATGTTCTGGATGAGATAATTGTGTACTCATTAGTTTTTATGTTGTTGATATTCTTCGGGTATTTGCGTAATTGTTTATTTGGTTCTTTGTTGTCGTCATTTTTCAAATCTCCCGAACTATATACATGAATGTTTTTGTAAAGTTTTCCTTTTGCTAAAATGTACAACTTTGATTGCAATGGAGCCATGACCAATGCCTGGTGCTGATTTATGTTTTGGAAAACCATCTCTAGAACTTCACAAGGCAGACTTGATATTGAAACCATTTCAGTGGTTTTTGAAAACCCAAAATTTTGTGACTCGTGCCTGTCTCTTTATATATATATATATATATATATCTTACTTGTACCCTTGCTCTTTCCTTCTTTGGAACGATGTCTGGTTGAAAACTGGGTCCTCTACCTACACAAAAGCCGAAAACTTTATGCGCATTTTTGTTGTACTAAAATATAAATGACACAAAAAACATGAATTCGCAACTATCTCTCTGAGGAGACATACCAAAAGTTTTGGTATGATGATGGCATCTATTGCATACACAGTTATCTTCTACAACTCATTTACGTTACTGATATATATTAAGTAGTCGTCAACATCTTTATCATGTCCACTTCGCCACACAATCACCTTTTCAAAAGTTTAGGTATTGCCCATGCCATCAAGGCATCTATCAGAATTTTAAACCAAATTGATAGCAATACCTATAAAGACATAGGCAAAAACAAACAGGATTATTTTTTTTTTCATTACCATGAAACACGATCAAGGGATGAGTTAAAAAGGGACTTGGCGGCTGCTTACAGTGTTGGCGAAAGCGAGGCGGAAAACTTTTGCCTATTCGCCTGACAAATCCTGCAATTCGACAACGTATATAGTAAAAGGTTCAAGATTCTCCAAGTTCCGAGTTACAACCGCCTAATCATGGATATGTACAGCTACATCGAGAAACAAACAGAATGTCCCATGCAAGCAAATAAATTTGCTAAGAAGCTTATCACGTTAAAGCCATTACAGACCATTGCGATGTAATCGTTTAGGGGAGAAACAAAAAGACCAAGAACAAAAAAAACCAACCAGAAGTATCCCATCAAATTGGGTGCAAGTGGATTCGCGCACTTCGATCAAGTGCTACATTCCCACATGGAATGACGTAGCAAATTTTCGTTTGAATGGGTTGAATCTGGAAACAGAGTGCGCGATTTTACAAATTCCAGAATCACTTAGTTTTCAAAATGAGACTGAAATTTTCACACCTAGTTGACAAGCTTTAAAAAACTAGAGCATAAAGCATTTTCTCCCGTTACTCAACTTAACTGTTGAGTTAGAAAAAACTTTCAGAAAATACGGGAAGACATTAAGGTCTGATGTTTTTATTTGCAATTTTGGTCCTATCGAATACAAGCTCATCAAGTTTAAGAAAGAGATTGAGGAATTCGCGACAAGCCAAAAAGAGTTTTCCACAAATTGATGGACTACATTTTAATCACTGACAGTTCACAGGGATTCAGTCTTACACCCTTGTCATTTCTTGGAATGAAAATTTGTTTGCGTGAAGTTGAGACTAACGAGACAGCAAATGAATTTGTAACTGAGTATGGCATCATTGAGCACGATGACGATGATTCTATGAGTTTCTTTAGCTTCCTTCTTGGGTGGATTCAAAAATTTGACTCAAAATCTTTGACAGAAGATCAATTACAGGAATTCATAAGGATAAGCTCCAGTAACATCAAGTACGGCTCGGACAACCAACATGTTTTCATGACACATGTGAGTGAAGTTTCTTAAAAAAAAAGGTTTGTCATGATGTTGCGTTCTATTAACTCTTTATCCAAATAGCTAGTGAATTAATCAATAGTTCTTTTCATCCACGCCATTTCTAGATAGCCTTAGAAACAGCATATGCAATTGCTAGAACAATGACAGCAATCACAGAAAGAATCCAATGTATGCCCGTGACTTTCTTTGCGCTCCGTGCCGCATACTCCAAATTTTTGGCAAATTCATAACTAGTTTCACCACGAGAAAACTTCTCAACGGCACGATGACACCCATTGTCCCCTAACCTGCGTTTTATTTCATCATCGGTTTCATTGAAGTATCGGGTTATGGTTTTTGCCCACTTTTCATGGTCCCCAGGAACCAAAAACCCGGTAGCTTCATCAATATTTGTTCCATCAAAATTAACCACCGTTTCCAATGGTCCACCAAAGTTTATCGCCAAGACTGGCGTTTTGTAAAGCATACTTTCAACAGGAACAATACCAAAATGTTCTCTTCCAGGCGTGTACAATAGTAGTTCCGCATGCTTCAAGAGTGCAACCTTGAGAGACGATTTAACGCTGGGTAGGAACAACACTTCAGTTGATGGCGGCATTACCAAGAGTTTACCTCGTATGGTGAAATTGGTCATTTTCAAGTCATCACAAAGTTGGGTCAATTCTTTCAAATACTCTACATTTTCAACCACTCTTGCATCGTACCCGCCTGCAATGACCAATCTCGGCTTTCCTGGAAGTATCCGCTTCAGCTTCGCAAACGCTTTAATAGCAAGTTCAATATTCTTGGATCTCTCAAACCTGTTGATGGATAGGAAATACTTTGAGTTTTGGAAAAAATTGGTCACTTCTTGATCTGCTTTTATGGACTCCTCGGTCTCTTCAACGTTTGCATCAATACATGGATATATGACTCCAGGGTCGATGTTGCGTAAGTTTGTAAACGTTTGGTGAAAGATCCCTTTAGTGAAATGTGAATTAACAACTATTTGATCACTGCATCCAGTAGTCCACTCTTCAATGAAATCAAAGGGCACTCTGTACAAGCTCTTCAATAAACTGGTTCTTTTGGTAAGCAATTGATCAGGGAAATGACAATAGAACAAGACTCTGGCACTGGCCAGACTAAAGAAATTTAAAAACGGGATGCAAAAAGATAATTGATCAACAATGAAGAAATCATAGTTGTTGATATCACCCGAGATGATCAACACGAGCACCAAGTATAGTTGCCGCAAAATTGCAAATAGGATATGAAACCTTTTGTAAAACAGTGTGGGTAGGAAATCTCCGTGCACAATGACTTTCAATTGGCCAGAGCTAACTTCGTCAAAACAATGATTGAGATCGCAATGTGACGTATAAATGACTACTTGATTGCCCAATTCTTGTAAGCCCACCGCAGCGTCAACGACTAGTCTCTCAGCACCGCCAATACCTAGATCTGGGTGTATGAATGCAATCCCTCCTGGTTTTCTTGATGACATGGTGGGAAATTGATTGTTAGACTGTCAACTGTAGTATTCAGATCTCGATTTATTTTTTTTTTTTTCTTCTTCTTCTGCTTGTTCGTGTTCTTCTTCAACGCGTGGATATTTTACTATAAACTTACTCACTATACAATCGCTACTACTTCTTCTTCCTGTCCCCTTCTTTTGGCTTCTTCCTCCTCTCTAGCTATCTTGTTCTTCAACTTTTCTGCTTTCCTATCCCATCTAGTATCTACAGGGTTGAATCCCGCCTCCTCAGAACCCCAGATTGCCCACTCGGGCGTTGGTTTTATATAATCAACATCAACAAAGTCCTGACCTGACTCTAACAACTCAAAAAACTTGGGATAATCAATGTGTGTATGCCACACTCCATTGATTTTGAATTTTTCGTGAGCAATCAAGATACAGCACGAGTGGGCGTGCTCGGCAGCAATGTCGTAACCAAGATTCCTACTACGCAACTCCTCATTCAAGGTTCTGACAAACTCCTTACACTCTTCATAAAATGGAATGTTTTGCATCGTCAATGGGTTTCCATTACCGTTTGAAGATCCACAGAATGTAGCCCCCTTGATTTCAATTTGAGAAGGCAATGCACGCTCAACCATATCAGCATAACTCTTGATATCAGTCATGTTGAACCCCTTAACCAATGTCAATCTAAACACTGTTCTTTGGTGAGATTGTTTGGTTCTTAAAATGTCCAAGCAGGACATTAAACGCTCCCAGAAATCACTATTCAAAGGACGGTCAACTTTCTTCAAATCGGTCTTTGTTGGTGCATCAATACTCACGTATAATTGAGTGACTTTCGACAATTTGGCCAAATTATCCGGGTGTTGAGCATTACAAACCAAGAAGGAGCTGATATGCTGATTATGCAACATTCCCACAAATTCGTTGATGTGCGGGTAGAAAATTGGTTCTCCAACAAGTGACAATGCGCAATGCTTCACTTGGAATGCTTCTTGGAACCTATCCATTTGTATACCAGGAACACCTCTCATTTGTTTGATTTTTTGATAATGGCCTTGTAATGCACCCTCCATGACTTTCTCTGGTGGGTCCAACTCCCATCTCCAATTCAGTTTTGCAACTGGGTTGGTCCCGTGTCTCCAACAAAATACACACTTGTTTGAGCAGGCCAATGATGGCGTTGTTTCCATGCATAGATGTGATTTTATACCATAAAAGGCAAACTTGTAGCACGATCCTCTTCCTCTCAATGCTGATTTGGTCCATCTGCAAATCTTGACACCCGAGTGTGAACCGACAATTGTGTAACCTTGCTTTGTGAGGGTTTTGAATGTTGGTGAGTCCTTGGCAACCATTTGTTTCACTTCCAATTGTTGTGTTGATCTTTGGCCAGATTTGCGAATTATATCGCCCATATCTTCAACGTCAACCAATGTATTTGCATCATCACTATTGTCCTCCTTATCGCTATCATCAAACTCATCATCGTTATTCTCATCAATGTAAAATGGTTCCTCGTCAATCAAAAGCTCGGCAAAATTTTGAATCCATTCCTTTGCTTTTGGTTCACCTTCATACTTCATACACACCTCACCCAACGGGTACAATCTTCTGCCACCCAATTTTCCCAACCATTTATCAGCTAATTTCGCTTGGTAGCAAAACTTGTCGCCCAGCCAGCTTTCTGAATCGCCTAAGCCCAACACTGCAAACCCCAAGATAGATCTCAATGGATACTTGTCCACTCTGAAATCTTGGTAGGTGTCAATCAAATGTTCCAAAAAGTAGTCGATGGGGGAATCCGTCTCATACGAAGGCAAGACCAACACGTATATGTTCTTGGTGTTTGCGTCATCCGCTGTTGGAGTTTTCAAAAAAAACTTTTCAAGATCGTCAACATCGTCATCAAGGCTTAGCAACTTGGGCTCGTGGGGTAATTCCATCAATGATAATTTTTCTTGCAAGTTTTTGGCCAATCTTAGAGATGATCCAGTTAACGTGGTGTAAAAGATGTATATTTGGGACTTTTTGAGATCAACCTGAGACCTCGTCAATAAAGGTTCATTGGATTGCAAAGGTGCTGGTTTACTGGCTTTGATAATCCTGGGTGATCTTTTGGCACGCAGGCGGACAGTAGTCTTTGGGATGTTTGACGTAGTTGAAGGTGTAAAAGTAGTTGAGGTGAAGTCAACAGCATATATCGGAGACTCTGTAGCACTTTTTGAAGTCTCTGAGACCGGAGGTTTTGATGGGGGTGCTGTTGCTGTTGCTGTTGCTGTTGCTGTTGCTCCTGCTCCTGCTCCTGCTCCTTTTGTTGTTGCTGTCGCTGGTTTTCCATCAAGTTTGTATAAATATGACAAGATGTACGCAGATAGCACTATTGTCCATCTTCCACCATTATAAAGATACAAGGCAGCGCATACTGCAAAAATGATATCTCCAAAACTCATAATTTCCAACTACAGTTTGCAGAGATATGAAGTTGTAGCAGTTGAAAGTGTGGGTTAGTCCTATGGCTGCAATGTGTGAAGAGTAAAAATATTTTTTTTTTTTTCACTGCATTATCTCATTGCAGAAGGAGAGAGAGAGAGACAGAGAGACAGAGAGACAGAGAGACAGAGGATACTTTATTATCATACACTGTGATATATAGATTGGATAGAAGTGCATCAGATCACCACGATAGCAGTACGATAAATATACAAGAATTTGTATTGAAACATGACTGACTAGGTGCTGTAGTATAACCAATATGATACTAATATCAGGAAGAAAGGACCAAAAGTCCACCTTTATAGTACAATCAAGGATACGCTAATGAAACCTTCAGCACAGCTATTTGAAACGGGAATACACATTCACTCCTTCAACTGCCGTGACAACAAATAAGCTACCACCTCGTACAATTTGACTCTTTGTCATTATAGAATTCTCTCATTTTTGGTTCTTGCTCTAGTATCCAATAGTGATTCATCTGTATTGTTCAACTGCTCTTGTAGGATGTTTGATGTGTTGAAATCAGATGCAGGGTTAGTTGGCTGGTTAATGATTGTCGATTCATTCAGATTCGAAGGATGTTGTTGTAGCTGTTGCTGTTGTTGTAGCTGTTGCTGTTGCTGTAGCTGTAAACGTCTCTCTTCTAAGGATTCATCATAATCAAGTACATCCTCTGCAGATAGTTTAATGGTAGTTGCTTCTCTTCTAAGCATGGCAATATCTATTTAAGTTGTTGTAGTGGTATGCCTCTGTGTGTGTATGTGTGTGTGTGTGTGTGTGTGTGAAGTTGCAGAAATCAAATTGATTGATTGAATGCAACAAGAGAGAGAGAGAGAGAGAGAGAGAGAGAGAGAGAGACAAAAGTGCAAAAGTGCAAAACAGAAAAGAAAGAACCGGATTTTTTATTCCGGTACAGGATTGGGATTGGTAATAAATCTAATCAATCAATCAATCAATCTACACCGAGGAGACCAAGTGTCTTTCACTAGGCAGAGCCAAACTACACACTGTCTCTTGGATATATATCCATCATCGTTCAAGACAAGATAATCAATCCACGGTTAGGTCCTGACTGCACAAAAACTCACCACTTTAAAAGCCGTTTCGAAAAAAAAAAAAAAATACAGATCCAATTTGGACCCTTCTTCTACCTCCAATTGCAGTCAAGCCCCGGTATCACCCTTGACGTACACTTGGCGCTAATCAGGTCTCCGTATCACTGCAACATTTTTTTTCTTTTATTATCGCAACAGCTTAATAATGTCAACCAAAGTCGACCAAGTCATCACCTTATCGCAAGTAAATTCAATTCTCGACAATATCAATAATAAAAACAGTGAAACTTCAAACGACAAGAAACAGACAGTTTGGAAAGAGTTTGGCAACTACCTCGACAAGAAAGTGGATATAATTAGACCAGATAAGGAATCATCATCCACCAACGAAAACTATTTTATCAAGAACGCGTTCCCTGGAAGATCCTACTTATCCCAATCCATCGCTTACAAGATCTGTAACTCGTGCCAAAGACCAATTGGATTACCTAGCTTAAACCTGCACTATCAACAGTGTGTCGCTATGAAGCAAAAGAGACAACAAGAGCAAGCAGAACTCGCTGCAAGTAACTACAGCAACAACAACAATAATAATAATAATGATGGAAACGCTGCGAATGCTGTCAATAAACGCAAGAGAAAGAATGGAGTACTAAGTGAAATGGAGTATTCCTCGTCCGTGGATAGTACAAGAAACAACACGCCGGTACCTAATAGTGCAAATGACAACTTTGACGGGGACCTCAGCAGCAACAGCAATAACGGCAACTCCTCAAAACCCAAGAAGAAGTACAAGAAATCACAAGCACAAAAGGCTAAAGAAGCCGCCAATGCCGCTGCCGCCGCCGCGTCGCAATCTGGTACTCCAATTGAAAAGCCAGTGAAACGGAAAAAGAATACGGGAGGCGCAACAACGTACAATAAACGACAACTGGAAGCCGCTACAGCAGAGCTGACTCCACCCGTGCAAGCAACAACACCTACTTCTCAATCTGCAGCGCAAACCCAAAAAGCCAAAGCTCTAGCCAAAGCCAAGGGACCAGTTGACGTTGACAAACAGTGTGGTGTTGCATTGGCCTCAGGTGGGTTATGCGCTCGTTCATTAACATGTAAAACTCACTCAATGGGAGCCAAGCGAGCTGTTCTTGGCAGAACTCAGCCTTACGATGTGTTGTTGCAACAGTACCAGAAACGAAACCAAGCCAAAATCGCACAAAATCATGCTCTTGCAGCACAACGAAGAGAGGCGGCGGCGTTCCATGGTGAATGCGCTGATCTGATGTTGAATAGGGCCAATAAGGTCTTGGATCCGGACGAAGAGACGCATTTGGTGTTGGAGGGGTTGTCAAAGAATAATCCAATACCGTTGGAGCGCAAAATTATGATGCCGGTGCGGTACCGTCATCGGTTCTTGCAGGCAAGAGAATTTTATGCGAATGCGCTAATCATCTCAGCACAACATTCCCAACAACAACAGCAACAGCAACAACAACAGCAACAGCAACAGCAAAGTGGAGCCGGTGGCGAGCAGACGTTGGCGAACCAAGCCATATCGGGATCCATAGGTGGTTTACAAGGTCGGTGCGCATTGATCAATGTTGACGCGCCGCTGAATCCGCAACTGGACTCGCAAACACAACTGTTTAGTGCCATTCCCGGCGAGATATATCAGGTTCGGGCTCCATCAAAGGCTATTTTAATGACGGCGCAGCATAATAATTTGCAGCAGCAGGCGTTCCAGCAGCAGTATCTCAAGTATCAGCAACAGCAACAGGCACAGCAACAAATGTTGTTGAAACAGAGGCAGCAGCAGTTACAAATGCAGAGACAACAGCAGCAACAACAACAACAGCAGCAACTACTGTGATTGTATTTTCAACGATTATTAAATTTTGTAATTTTAAGAGATGTGACATTTTCAATATATACACCGTATATCTACTCCATTCATAACATCCTCTTCCCACTTTCGAATTCGCCTTTTTTGCTCACCTCGACTTACTCCGTGTTGGCCAATAAGGCTTATGTTTAGTAATCCAAGGATGTCGCAAAACTCCGTCCAAGCTCAATCTTTCACTTGGTTCATACCTCAACAACCGCCTGATCAAGTCAATAGCATCCAAATCCATTGCCGTCGTCGTCATCATTGCAGATGCACCGTCATTCGCTACTGATTTTCTCTTTATGCTTTCCTTGATATTTGCACCAACACCACCACCACCATCGCCTTCACCACCAGTGCGATCATTGGCACCATTGGGTCCACTGGGTCCACTGGGAGGCAAGTACTTTGGAAATCTTAAATCTACTTTAGCGATACGTTTATAAGTTGCATTCTTGTCAACTTCCTCAAATGGTGGCTTGCCAACGAGGAGTTCATAAATCAACACCCCCAATGCCCATATATCTACTGCTTTATCGTGTGGTTTCAGTTCAATCATTTCAGGAGGTAGGTAGTCCATTGTTCCACATATGGTATTTCTTCTATTCGATTGTTGGAGCGGCGGATGGGCACCACTAGGATTTTGCATGTGGCTTATATGGCTGCGATGCTTGTTATCCACTACTTCTTCTTCTTCTTCTTCGTCATCATCATGAACATTGTTAGGTAGGTCTTGTTTCCCTTCTTCATCTTGATTCTTCATATACACTGACCAACCGAAATCACTCAACTTCACCACATTATCCAAACTCAACATGATATTCTCCGGCTTGATATCCCGATGAACAACCTTTTTTTCATGCAAGTATCGTAATGCCAAAGTCACTTGATATATGTAATGGCTCGCTTTAACATTGTCGAACCGCTTAAGCTTGCGCAATTCCTGATACAACTCGCCATACAAGCTGAATTCCAAAACTAGATACACATTGGTATCATCATGGAACCACGTATGTAAATGAGTGATGTTGACGTGGTACAATGAAGATTGGATTTCAATCTCTCGTCGGAAATTGCGTTCTAGTTTCATTGACGAAAGTTCCTTCTTTGACATCACCTTGAGCGCAACTAGGTATCCTGATGGTTTGTGTTTGGCACAATATACTTTGCCCAATTTGCCCTTGCCTAAAACTCTTCCGATTTCAAAATCATCAAACTTGTAATTGGGTGCAGAAGGAGGCGGCGCGTCGGTGTTGTTGTTGGGAGGATAATGAGTTGATAGTGATGGAGATTTGTTATAATTCAGTGTGTTTGATTTGTAGTTGTCCTCCGCTGGTGATTCAATAAACGGTGAAGATGAGGAATATGAATACGATGAAGTACTGTGGTGTGTTGTTGTTGCTGCTGAGGCTTCTGTGCCGCCCTTGGAAGAAGAGGACATGGGGGTGGCTGATGGTTTGTGAGCAACTCTTTTCGAACTAGGTGTAGTGGTCAGCATGCTCTTGTAACTTAGGGATGTGCCATTTGTCAGACGCTCCTCCTCTCTGTTGCCAAGATCGGAAACACTTCTCATTGGAGTTGGTGAAGTTTGCTCGTTTACGCGTTTTCGATGAGGATATTGGCCGTATTTGTAGCTCTGGCGTTTTTCAGAAAGTTTTGGTTTGGCCACTTTGTACTCGTTGGAGTGGTAATAAGGTTGACCAAGATGGTGATGATGGTGGTGATGATGATGATGTTGATGATTGTTTGTGATTGAAGTCAACGGCATTGATTTGTGGTCAATCTTGAGATCATGAGAAGGCATTTCAAAGGTGAAAATAGCTCTGCCAATGGTGTTTTTTCTTTCCTTGTGATACTGTAATATTTGTAACTCTGCTTTGATACAACAATGGTGGTGATTGCAGCGTCGTGCTTTCTCTACTGACTCCCGCGCGGATACTTAAAGTGTGCTTGTGTGTGTGCTTGTGTATGTGCTTGTGTGCGTGTGTGTGTGTGTGTTGATATAACGTTTCCTTTTGTGAAGGAATTTGTTTTCAATTTGGTAAGATGTACACGACCTAAATTTTACACGCGAAAACGATTAGTTTTGCAACCACCAACTGTTTCAAGAGTCAGTCATCCATGTTGAGCTCCGCTGCACTTAAGAAGCTAGATTTAGTCTCCCAAAGTTAGTGAATATCTTAAACGCGGTGTAATTAGATGTATATTTTGAAAGACTTTCTTGAAGAAATTTTGGTGTCATTCCATTACAAAACTTTCTTTCAACACAACTAAATATGGCTTTTAGGTATCATAACTAGAGTACATAGTTGCAAGAAGCAACTAATGGCACCCTTCCTAACAAGAGAGTGAAGCAACTCTTCAAAGTGTAGTGAGAGTATTCCGACAACAGTGTAGAGTAACAAAAACAATCACGTGCAGTTCAAAAGTAAGAAGTTTTCCCTCGGCAACAGAAAAATATTTTCGAGACACTTTTGTAACTATGTTTAGGTAAGAGACTACTAGTACTAGGTATTGCACGGCTGTGTGTTTCATCAAGGATCGACGAGACGAGCCCATCGGTACTCTTTGTTCAATGCTTCACGAATGTACGTATTGGGAGGAAAAATTCTTACCGCAAGAAACATAATCAACATTACACGTGATGTGTGTTGAGGAGTAACAAAGGGATCCAGCTTCGCGTCTCATTTGGATACATTCTCGACTCGTTTTGTCGTCTTCATCTTCTTATGGTGCATGTAAGTTCTTAGACGATGCATCTTAAGCTGTAATGTGTTTGCAAATTGTGAATATGTATGTATGTATGTATGGTTATTGTCGTATGACCTCTTCTAAAAAACTAGTATGCGTATATGGTTTGTGTAACAATATTCAGCTGTTACGGCTGACTGTTTGTGTACACAGAGTGCACAGAGTACACAAACAACTCGTCTTCATATAAAACACGTACAAAGGTTATCAACAAAAGTTGGCGACAACCAAAAGCATTGAATGCATGTATATAACTAAAACTAATGGTTGTGCAAAGCTACAAGTGGCTCTATTGTGCATTACACGATATACTTTATGAAACCAAAAAATGATCACATGACAAATAATAAACTTAACGAATTATTAGCTATGAAAGACTATATACTCTAAGTACACTAGTGAAATGATTATGTAAATCTCCTCATTTTCAATAGTTGTTACTCTTTACTTTACTCGTATTTATGAGATATCAAGACTTATATCTATACAACTTTGTAAGCTTATATCTGGTAAAATTGTGTTTATTTGTTTGTATTTATTTTTGTGTTTGAATTGAGTGAGAATGATCACAAACTCAATATTACACACACACACACACACACAAAAAAACCCCCTCCTTCAAACCATACACGTATATATCTCTCTTTTATTTTTTTTTTTGTTTTTTTTTTTTTTAACATTCCTTAAATATGTATGTAGATAGATATACTCTTTAGAAATCAGGCGTCTAATTCTTTTTTCAAGAAACATATTATTGATATCACAATAACAAGGACTAAAACACATATGTAACTAGGTAATGCACGGGTAAACAATCTATAAAATATACGTCACGGTTTTTTTTTTCTTCTTCTTCTTTTGTTTTAATAATAGAGAAAACCACACTTTTAATTAGCCCTGTTAATCTCCACTGCTTTTGTTTTCGTCTCCTTCGGGATAAAAACAGATGCATAGAAATTGAAGGAATCATCTCTTTTTCTTTAAAGATTACAATTTTAGAATCCACATAAACTAATTGTTTTCCTCCCTCGACTCACCTCCCTCAATTTACACTTTCCCTTTTCCTTTTCCTTTTCCTTTTCCTTTTCCTTTTTCTTTTTCTTTTTCTTCCTTTTTACTGTTTGAAGTCATATACCCAGATTAAACATACTTAGAAGACTGATCCAACTCCCAATCCCCAACCCCCATTTTCTCCTTCCTCCTTAACAAACTACAACACCGAACCACAATGGCTATTAAAGACAGAGTAAAGAGAATCTCAAGAGTGTTTAACCCTGATTCAAAAGAGGCTAAGACTCACAAGACCACTAATGAAACTGGAGCTACCACTGACGCTACTGCTACCACCGCAGAGCCAGTTGAAGTTTCAAAGACTGACGACGCTGCCGCTGCTGAGCCCCAGGCTGGATCCGAAGCTACTGACGCTGCTACTCCTGCAGCTGCTGGTGAAGAAGTAGTTGGACAAGAAGAGACTGTGACCGAGCCAGTTACTAAACTGAATGGTGATGGCATTACTGCATACGCAGATGCAACTAAAACAGACGAGGCAGCTGTAGTTAAGGATACACCTGAAGTTGCACAAGCATCTTCAACTACTGCTACTGCTGCACCAAAAACTGAAGCTGATGTTAATGTTGATGCAACTGGTGCTGCCGCTACTACTACTACTACTAGCCCTGTTGAAATCACAGAGGGAACGCCTCTTGAATTGAGTGACAATGGTAATGGTGCAACCACAGCTGAGCCTGCCGCCGCCAAGGATACTGAACCAATAGCAGAGCCAGTCACTACTGAAGAAGCCAAGACTTCTACCTCGAACCAGACCAAGAAGTCTAATTTCTTCAAGAGGTTCTACAGCAAATTCCAAAAACCAGTGATTGCAAAGTAAGCAAAGATACACTGCGCGAAATTTCTTTTACTATTGTTGTGGACTTGTTTGATAGGAGCAAGGTCAGTTCAGTTCAGTTCAGTTCAGTTCAGTCTGTCTTTTTGGCCGCGGCTGCACGGCTTGTCTCCTTTTCCTATAGCCTCTCCTCTTTCTTTCTTTCCTTGTTATATTGAAGTGTCTATTCAATTTACTCCATTGTATAGTATACAATGTGGCTGTTTCTACTCTAATTACAGTGTTTCTAATAATAATAATAATGATAATAAAATAGTAACCTTAGATTTGATTCAAATGGGAATTAATAGGACAGTCTCGCGTGAAATCAGCTCCTCTGTTGTGCATTATAAGATCTTTTATTCTGCAGGTAAGAGACAACCACGAGTAACTTGGTCAGAGTACACCCTTTTCTTTTATGAATAGACGTGAGATGGCTGTAAAAAATATCCGATTGTGGATAAGCCCACATATACACGTGACTAGCTACCCTGTCACCGTAAAGGCAAAAAAAAGAAACTTTTAGGATATTTGTGTGTGTGTGTGTGCATAATAAATTAAGAAAATAAATAATAAATCAATGCATAGACTGTTATGTTTATCTGTCTGTGCTTGTTCATTGTAATTCTCTAGGCTATATACTAAAGAAGTATCTATTGGGGTTATAGGGTGGTTGTATTATCAGCTCATCTGAAGCATAATTGCTCTAAGAGATTGGATTATCAGTAGTGTGTTGTGTGGTGTGTCTATGTTTAAGAGAAAACAGCAAAAGAAAATAAAAAAAAAAAATTGAAATTAAAAATTTTTTGGAAACAATTACACACCCCCCGGATACACACCCATTCTTTTTTTCTTTTTAACAATTACAGCTGGTATTGAAACATCATCCTTATCCATCGGATTAACCAACCAACTACTGTAGTCATTACTATTACAGATATCTTGTCATTTACTTTACAGAGCCAGAAAGGGTGTGTTGCAAATTTGACCGTCACACACACACACACATCATTAAATTTTTTTTTTGGTTGTCAAATTTTTTTCTTCTTCAGAGACAGAGAGAGACAGAGAGAGAAAGAATCATCGTTTCATAAACAACAAATCACTCGCACACAACTCGCACACACTCGCACACACACACTATTACTAGCAACTGCCTTATCAACTCAACTTTAAGAGCAACACATCACATCATATCGCATCATTACTATACAATACATCACCATACGATCAATCCATCAACTCCAAGGATTATTAGATAAGACCAGGCAACAGACACACAAGTCACACACACACCATATCGATTAAGACAACAAACAAAAATTTTGATTCATTTAGATCATCAACAATACCCGCAACCGCAACCGCAACCGCAACCACAACAGCATATATATATATATACACACACACCACTCAACCATGGATTTGAGAGTAGGCAAAAAATACCGCATTGGCCGTAAGATTGGTTCAGGATCATTTGGTGACATTTACTTGGGAACAAATATCATATCGGGCGAAGAAGTTGCCATCAAGTTGGAAAACACTAAAGCCAAACACCCACAATTGGAATACGAAGCAAAAGTCTATAAAGCATTAAGTGGAGGAGTAGGTATACCTTTTGTGAGGTGGTATGGTACTGAATGCGACTACAACGCCATGGTTATAGACTTGTTGGGTCCTTCGTTGGAAGATTTGTTCAACTACTGTAACAGAAAATTCACCTACAAGACTGTTTTACTATTGGCTGACCAGTTAATATGTCGGATTGAGTACATACATGCTAGATGCTTTATCCATCGTGACATCAAACCAGATAATTTTTTGATGGGTATTGGAAGACGAGGATCTCAAGTGAATGTGATTGATTTTGGTTTGGCCAAAAAGTATCGTGATCCAAGAACGCATTTACACATTCCGTATCGTGAAAACAAGAATTTGACTGGTACGGCAAGATATGCCAGTGTTAATACACACTTGGGTATTGAGCAAAGTAGAAGAGATGATTTAGAAAGTTTGGGGTATGTGTTGATTTATTTCTGCCGTGGTTCATTGCCTTGGCAAGGTTTGAAAGCAGCTACAAAGAGACAAAAGTATGACCGTATCATGGAAAAGAAGATGACGACGCCAAACAACATTTTGTGCAAAGGTTTACCTAGTGAGTTTTTGGATTACATGAACTACATCAAAACATTGAGATTTGATGATAAACCCGATTACGCATATCTCAGGAAATTGTTTAGAGACTTGTTCAAGAAGGAAAACTATCGGTATGATTATGTTTTTGATTGGACGTTGTACAAATTCCAATTGGAAAAACAAAGGGCTCAGGGTAAATTAGCTGATGGAGATAACAATAATCAGGAGAACAACGATCAACAGCAAACACCACAGCAACAACAGCAATCACAACAAACACCGCAACCACAACCGCCACAGCAACGGAGTCAGCAAGTACAGCAACAACAACAACAACAACAACAAGATGCACAAGACCAACAACAACTTCAGGACTCTCAGCATCAGCAGAAAAATTTTGCTGACCCCCGCTATCAAAACCAAAAATCCATGTATACACCAAATCAAACATACCATGCTGCTGCCCAAAAAGTACCACCACCAGCTCAACCACAAGCAAATTCAGGCAATCCAGCATGGCTTTAATACGATAGGGCAGAGTAGCAGTAAGTGCATTTGCTATTCAAGAATGCAGATAGCGTATAGCGTCGCTATTCTTGTGTAAGACTGGGCTTTGGTGTTGATTGGCTCTGGTGTTGATTGGATTCGGTGTTTCAAGAGGCACGCCACCGCCGAGTTGTGCTGTTGTGGCATATGAATGCTAAAGACTTGCTAGAAAGCAAGCGCTTGCTCAGCTGGTTACCTACTATACTATATTTGCAACTTCGAATACTCAGATATGCTTGCACAAGGTTTCAGCCGCAATTGCACATACTTCTCGAAGGTAGATGGGTATTGAGAGAGAGAGAGAGAGAGGGCGTAGTTGCTTGCCGTCACCGTATGCCAGACTTATGGCTCTTCTACGTGTTTGTGTGGGCATTGCATTGTTTCATTCGTAAACGACCAAGAAGATAACCAGCGTATCCTTACGCTAGTCGGACAACGATGCTGAGGTTGCGATGTTGTGATTTTGATAGATGCTCGTACATATATACATATAAAATAGTGTAAACTATACTATGCTTCAATTCAATTGAGAATACCCATTTCATTCAACTCTATAAAGGTGATGTCCTACTTTTTCGCTTCAGCTTTGGCTGCTTTATCGATATAGTTATGCAAGAAATCAAATATCGTCACTGATCCAGCACCACCACCACCACCACCAGCAAAAGTCTTTCCATTCTTTCCCGCAATTGCATCTCCACCTTCCTCATCGTTATCAGCACTTGGAACCCGATAACTATCAATATACCCAAAGAACCCATAATACACATTCTCCTTGACCTCCTCATCATAAATCTTGTCGTAAATATACTTCATTTTAAAATCAGCCATTTCGTGCTCGTACGCACTAAAATCAATCGCATCGTATGCGTTATCGCGCAACTTGTGATTGTAGGCGTCAAACACGGGGTTTTCCAACAACAACCCCAACGCGGGGGCTTTGGGCACATTGATCCTCGTGGGCTCAAATGCATCAGTAATCAAGCCCAGTGGCAAATCGCAACGAATGACTAGCGTGGCCATGCAGATCATTTTACGAATCTGGTGGAGCATGAATGATTGGCCGTGGATTTTGATCGAGATCCATTCGGTGTTGTTGATGACAAATGGGTTGGAGATTGTGGTGTCGATGATGTATCGGTTGGATGAGGTGTCCTTGTACGTTTTGCCAATGGTGAAGTTGTGGAAGTTGTGGGTGCCCTTGTATTGTTGCATTGTTTGTCTGAAGCGGTCGAGACGCGATGGTGAGATTCTGTAGGCTCGACGGGTGGCGTTTTCTATTTGTTTAACTTGTTTGGCGAGACGGTAAAGGGGGATGTCTTGAGATGTGTTTGGGTCTTGTGGTGTTTCATTAGCGATATTGGTTGTCACATTGTCGTTGTTGGTACTGGTGCTACTTTCTTGTACACTCGATTCAGGATTAGGCGTAGCTTGCGCTGCTTTGTTCTCTTGTTCATACATTTGTGCAATGGCGTCCAACTGATCTTGCGTAAAACCGGCCTCTCGGACTTTGTCCTTCATCAACTCCCAAAACACCTTGCTTTCACCACCATCATCAACAAACAAACCAGGATGGTTTTCCTTACTCTCCCTAATCAACTCATCCAACTGCGAACCAGGCTTGGGGCTGAGCAAGGAATAAGTAGGCAACAAATACTCATACACTCTCGACGAGCACATCTTCCTACAATCAAACCCCTTTGTGGTACGCTGAATACCCCAAACCCGGATCTGATCCGGTAAATGCTCATTAATCTTGGCCTTCAAATCAGGGTCCTCGATAATCATCTTTAGCGAAACGACATTACCGGCAGCATGTACACCTTTATCTGTCCTTGCTGTTCTCTGAAACCCGGATTTCTTCAAGTCAATTGAGTTTTCCAACGATATGGCACCGGCTTTGTACAATGCCTCGTAGAAGTCCTTTTCAATTGTCTTGACACCAGGTTCATTTTGAATTTGGAGCCCGTTGTATCCCGTACCGCAGTATCCTATCATCACGGCACATTTCCGTTTTGGTTTCCGTTCGGATTTGGGGATGGGGTTGCCGTTGTCATCTAACATGGGAACATATTCACTAGAAAAAAGGGTGCATAGTTAGTATTTAGTTGTGAGATGCACGCCACGGTCATGTAAATGTAGTGGGGTGTATTGGTCGTGGACTTACCTACGATTGTTCATATTTCTGTCTGTTTTGCCTTTCTTTGGAATTTTGCAACCTGGCGCCAACTTGCGCTGACCTTGTAGTTGCAGTTGTTGTGGAAGAACCAGCTGAAACAGCAGGCTGCGGGCTATGAGGCTCTTCCAAAGGCTGTTGTTGGGATCCTTGTTGCTCAATTTGGATATTATCAGACGTGTCCATCTTTGCATTTATTCAGTAGTGAGAGACCAGTTGTATATAGTCAATGGTGTCGAGTTGGTGAAGATTTGGGAAAGTGTTTTTCTATTTATTTTTTTTTTTTATTTTTTTTTTTCGTAACGAAGGATGGGCATCTCTCTCTCTCGACTGAAAAAAAAAAAAATAGAGAAAATAATGAGAACAGAGTAGACTTTCACGGGGAGAGAGATCATCATCATCATCTTCATTATCTTATAACAGCCACGCTCAGTACATCTTGCTATTCTTTTTCCGCCAATGAGACCATTAACAGAAGAAGAAACCAAAGTCGTGTTTGAAAAACTAGCCAACTACATCGGCCGCAACATATCTGCCCTCATAGACAATCCCGAAAACCCGCATGTTTTCCGATTACAAAAGGATCGAGTGTACTACGTGTCCGAACAAGTTGCCAATTTCGCCACTTCAGTATCACGTCAGAACCTAATGTCATTGGGCACCTGTTTTGGCAAATTCACCAAGACTGGTAAATTCAAATTACACATCACTGCCTTGCCCTATTTATCACAATACGCAAAATACAAGATATGGATTAAACAAAATGGTGAGATGCCGTTCTTGTATGGGAATCATGTTTTGAAAGCGCATGTTGGGAGGATGAGTGATGATATTCCTGAACATGCTGGTGTTATTGTGTATAGCATGGGTGATATCCCTTTAGGGTTTGGTGTTAGTGCTAAGCTGACGCATGAGGCGAGGAACGTGGCTCCTACTGGTATTGTTGCGTTTAGACAGGGTGATATTGGTGAGTATTTGAGAGAAGAGGATACTTTGTTTACGTAGCGCGAGTTAAAAGACGATGCCATTAAATGAATATGTGTTTTCTCTATGTACATTGTTGATCTCTTAATAACTGATCAAGTTGTGTTTCAATATTCCGTATGGGTTTCCTTGTGAAACGACAAAACTCGACTGCACTAATTTTTCAAATTGCAATTCAGGATCAATTTCTTGTTCAACAACTTCGGCTTGGTCGTCATTGAATTCTTTCTTGTGGAAGTCTTGTCTTGTTATCAACACTTGTTGATCCCTCCAAAATGATAACAATGCACGAACTTCATCTTTAGACAAGGGGGAAACTTTGACAGGCTCTATTCCTCCATTGGATGCCAATCTCTGCGATACTGATATATCCAACTTTGGATACTTCATGTATGGATCGTATTCGTCATGAGGATATACCGCCACATGGGTTGTCTTTCTAGCAGGTGCGAAATCACACGATTTGGCCAACAAGACTCCACCTTTAGCAAAACTCAATTCGCCGCTGGCTGCCTTCAAGATGAAATCACCCAATTCAAATTCGCTTATGTGAATGGGTTTGAAATCTGGTGAGCGATATTGAGTTGTTGAAAAATCAGCCAATGCATTGAAATCATCAACTGATAAGATAACAGGCACCGTTCTCGAATGTTGTTTCAATTGGTTGATAAAGAATTGGAATGCCGTTGTTGGCTGACCTTTGTTGATTTCTCTATTTTGTGAAAGGTAATCGTACAAAGAAGCTTCACCAGCTTTTAAATTGTACTCTTGTTTGTCTTGGTAAAACTTAACATCTTGAGTTAATTTGAGTTTTTGGAAAACGTCCTTGTTGACATTCAAGATCTTCCTCAACCATCTCTTTGTGGCCATTGGTTGCTGATACAAGCCCAATTTATTGTTTCTAAAATAGTCAGAGGATCCATTTCCTATTATATCAGCCGAGTGCAAGTGTAATATAACAACATCATTTTCGAATTCCTGGAGTGATAATGCCAATGCCTGGTTCACCAAAGTAGACTTTCCACTGCCCTTGATCCCATCGATATATTTACGATTGGTTTTGGACTCATTTGTTAAATTTTTAACAAAACTGTCATAAATTTTGACAGTGTTGGAAGTGGTCAACGACACTGGGTTTCTAAACATTTCGTGATGTTGAAACTTTTTAAATGCTTGGAATGTGCGCAACTTCTCCTCGATGTCAGATGGATATACAGTGATTGTTGATGAACTTAAACAATCCTTACTCAATGGCTCAACATAATCCATTGGAGGTGCCAATTTTTCCAAATTTAATTGTTGAACGGCATCTTTGAATGGGTGATGGGTTAATCCAGTAGATTTCTTGACTTTCTCCTTTTCCACCACTTTCCTTCTTAAAATCTGTTTCGATTTACCTTCCTTTTGTCTTGGTGTGGCTAGAAGTTGGGTTGTGGTTGTGAAATTGTGAGTCGATATTAGCAGAGTTGAGCGGCAGCTGGTAAGCCCCGTGACCCTGGTGGCCCTGGTGGCCCTGGTGGCCCTGGATAAATTGGCCGATAATCTCAACATGGTTAACCGGTGGCTGTTGTTTTAGAATTAGCTGTCACTCCTCTAATCTCTACGTATAGAGAGTAGTTGAAAATTTTTTGGGCTCGTGCAAATTGGTAATGAGTACACTACCCGCATGATTTGGTGGAAAAAAAAAAATTTTTTTTCATTTTTTTTTCATTTCATCACTTTCGTTCCAATATTGTTAATCTCTTCTCTACTACTCATCACATACTTGAGTTACTTTTCTTCTTCCCATTACTACTTTAGTTTGAGTTTTTGTTTATTTTTATTTCTTTTTTCCTTTCAATGTACTTACATTCAAGTCCTATTCTAGCATGTTTTGGAAGTTGATGCTAAATGGTGCCTCATTTCCAGTACCAAAAAGTCATTGTTATCACTTCCAATTGAGGTGTTTGTCGAGGTATTCGTCGAAAGTTGCTCTCTCAAAGAAAAATTTACTCAAGACAAGGCAAAAAATACGACAAGAGTCGAACAAAGAGGAAGCTGAAACTGATGGAAAGTCCAAAAGGGGACTTATTTTCGAGTCTGGCAAGTTTTCTCAACTACACAATGACTTGAAAACACCCATTGATTCAGCTGAATCGAAAATTGACAATTTTGATCAATTGAAGGTTTTCCCATCGGTACGGGAGGCAATGATCAAGGAAATTAGGTCTCAGTACAATCTTAAAGGACCTCAACATGCATCACTTGATGAGATCAAGATTAAACCCACGCCAGTTCAAATTTCTGCAATCCGTAAAATCAACCAAACGAGAAGAGTTGATAAGAAGTTGGAAGAAATGGATGCAGGAGAACGAATCTTTTACGAATTGAAACATGAGAATGAGTTGAAAAAGACTAAAGTTTTCACAGTTGCTGCTGAGACGGGGTCAGGCAAGACCTGGAGTTATCTTGCTCCATTATTATCGAAGTTGAAAGAGGATGACTTTAATTGGTTCAAAGACAACACCAGAAAGTATGAGCTATTCAAGAATTCAGAGCAAGTAAGGTCGATCATCTTGGTACCTACTCATGAGTTGGTTGAGCAAGTGTACCAAGTGCTTAATAGAGCCAACAAATTCCCGTTGGAGCATGAAAATGTCGCGCGTCAGTACCAAGATTTCCTTGAACTACCAGAAAATGCCACACTTGGATTGTCTGTGATGAAGTTGTCCCACGGGGATCCACCAATTTCATTATACAAGCAGTTGCGCAACCATGGTAAGGTTGATGTCTTGGTTACAACGCCAGCTAAAATCACGGGGTTTTCCAAATTGGAAGCTATTGATCGTCCATTCAAAATTTTCAAAAGTGTGAGATATTGTGTTTTAGATGAAGCGGATACGTTGTTTGATCCCTCGTTTTTGAAAGATACCACTGCTGTGGTTAAAAATTTCCCCAATTTACTCGACTTGATTTTGGTTTCAGCTACAATCCCCAAAGAGTTTGAAAAGACATTGTCGAGGTATTTTCCTGATGAGAAGTCAATGATTCGAGTATCTACGTCGTCATTGCATAAAGTACCTCGTAATATTAAAGTTATGACTTTGGATGCCGATTTGCCTCCGTATAATGGATCAAAGCCAAGGTGTTTAGCCCAAGCCATTTATGCTATATCAAGAGATGGAACTGAACCCGATCATGTGAAACGTATTATTGTTTTTGTGAATGAGAAGTCGGAAGTCGATGGATTGGTGGATTTGATGATTTCCAAATACGGAATTCGTGAACAAGACATACATGGTGTATCAGGCAAGGTTAAAGTTCAAGATCGTCGGGATTTTCTCGAACCGTTTTTGATGCCGGCACAAGTGATCAAGCAGGATTTGGATGGGAGCAAAGTTAAGATTTTGGTGACTACTGATTTGTTGGCTAGAGGATTGAATTTTATTGGGATCAAGAATGTGATATTGATGGGCTTACCTAGAAGCTCAGTTGATCTTGTACATAGATTGGGAAGAACGGGAAGAATGAATCAACTGGGCCGTGTTTTCATCATTGCAGATAAAAAGTCCAAGAAGTCATGGGTGAAGGGATTGGGTAATGCCATAATCAGAGGAATCAAAATAGGTTGAAAAAGAAGGTATGTGTATGTGTGCTGAAATTGTTCAAGATGATGATTCATAGACATTTTTTTTTCAGACGTTAGACTTCTGAGTGAATTATGCGGAAGACGTGTCAAGATTACTGATTGAAGATGGAATGTTGCAAAGTTACAATTACTAACAAATCAAAGCAGGCAGGCAAGGACAAGGACAAGGTTTTTTTTTTACGAAGAGATGTTTATGATAGGTATGTGTGTTTGAATGCTATAGCCAGAGCTGTGATTGCTTAACTTTCTTTTTCATGATGAAACACCAAACAGACCAAATTTACGAACGCTTGACTTCCTACATTTATGTCATGGGGAAAAGTCTACATTTAGTTATCTGATATAACAAAAGGAATAACATGGCATTGCATAGCTAGCACGTCACTGAGTTTTTTATACTAACAACAAATTTTGCAGATTAACGATTTCAATACAATACGGATTAAATTTTGGGAATGAACAGCTGATCTGTCATTGTAGAGTTGAGCGTGACCGTCTCTACCCTGGGAATTAATTTAATACTTTACTCCTTTTACAGTGTACTGATATTTATACGCCCCAGGAAAATCAAACAAAAAAGAGTCAAGCGTATACACTTTATATTTGAAGGAGTTTTCCATTCCTCTTCAAGTATTGGAATTAGCTTGACACAGATTACTAACGCTTTTCTTATTTGCATAGGTTTTGTAGAGTAAAGGAAG